GTCTCAAAAAAAAAAAAAAAAAAAAAAAAAGAAATCCCAGGTCTGAGTCCAAATTCTGTACTCCCCAGCTGTGTGATGCTGGGCAAGGTGGTTGGCCTCTCTGAGCCTTGGCTTCCTTGTCTGCAACTGGGGGTCAAGGCAGTGCCGGCTCATGAGCTTGCTATGCGGATGAGGGTACAGGGCAGGGCATGAGTGCTTGGTGAGCTCTGGTACATCACACCAGATACGAATGTTAGAGATATGAATGTTTCTGGTGCAAGAGGTCACATTTGGATCTGGCCTCAAGCAAGCTGGGAGGCAGGTGGAGTTTATCTGATCCCACCCTAGGTACATGGAATCCCGTGTCCTACTCCCAAATGGCAGTTTTCTCAGTTAGCTGATGGCTAATCCCTACTGGTAGATGCTTCTCCTTCCAGGAGTATTAGTACTTTAACCAGGATTCTTAGAGACCTAAAAACCTTTAACACCCAAAGGGCTCTAACTGGGAGATTTTAGGCATGAGGGAGATGCTTTGAAGTGGGACCCCACCATCACTCCTGAATAATGTGTACCTTGTAGGAAGAGTTGTGGGATGGCTACAGCTTCCAGAGAACTGGGATTCCCTCATTTTATTGCTAGGGAAGAAACTTGGGTCTCTAGAACCGACTCAGATTCTGACCGGGAGCTCCAACTGGGTCCCATCACGGGCTCTGTTTGGTTTTCCATAAAGTATCTGAAAAAGCAAGTGCTTTGGCTAGAGACAAAGGGTCGCTTTTCAGTCTCCACCTGTGCTGGGCTGTAGCTGGAGCCCAGCAGGCTGTCACTGGTTGAAGGCCAGTCCTGCAGGTTCTAGGGTGAGGGTGACCAGCTGGGCAGAGGCACCCTGAATAGCCTTGATCCTCAGTCTCAGCATCTGTGTGTCCCCCTGGGGAGGTCCTAGAGGCAGTTAGAGCCCAGACACGCTGCTGAAGATCCTCCAGCAGGCTCAGCGACCCCCTCTGCATGCCTGTTCATGCAGGCATCCTTGAATGCAGCCTTGTTGAGGGCCACTATAACTCAACTCCACATGGGAAACAAGCGCTTCTCCCTTCAAAGCTGAAGGACTTTGTTTAGCTGAGCTCAATTCCAGCCCGTTGCTCTGGCAACCGGTCTTCGGGGGATTTACATCTCATGCATCACAACAGAGGAATAGCCATTCAGCAAGTAAGAGGGGTAAAAAACTCACAACACAACACCAGTGCGCCTGCCCCCACCCCAAGAGCGCTGCCGCAAAACAGGAACAGAATCAGCAACAACAGAAATCTCCCACAAGCCCATTCTGCTTTGGCTGGCAATCAGCCAAACACAAATTCAAACTTAATCAAACTTTCCTGTCTCCCTTGTAAAGCTCAGGAAATCAGTAATTGGCTTTATAATTAAATTTTCTGATCACATATCAAAGGAATGGGTCCTGCCAAAGGCCAAGGAATGGCCTGTCTCCAGTAAGGACAGCCAAAGGTCCCTAATAGAAGGTACGGGAGGAGAATTAACTGCTGGTTGGCTAAGAATAGAGCCTGTTATTTATAACCAAGGAAGACACCAGTGACAGCCGAGCCTTGCCTGTGGTCTCCCCCAAACACCCACCCAGGAGCGCCAGGTTTCTGATTCAGAAAGGAAGCCTTTGACATTGGTGTCGGCGGCAAGCAGGGTGGAAGATTGGGAGGCAGAGGCAGGAAGACCACCTCGGTGAGGAGCACCATACGAACACCAAGAAGAGGGAAGGCTGCCTCACCAGGGCAGTGGCCTGGGCAGAGAGAGGAAGGGCTGATTCAAGAACCATTCTGCAACAGGAAGTGAGACATGGAGGGGCAGGAGGAGTCCAGGGTCTCTGCTTGGATA